TGTAATGTTTTTGGCAATTACCAGTATTTGATTAGTTTTTAGATATTAAGGTAAAGATAATCAATAAATACTTATATACAAAACGTGAAAGTTCTATTCCATCAAATCATTGCGTTGAATAGTGCTTGTAGATATAGAGAACAATTCCCTATCCCCCCCCCCCTTGAAAATTGAGTTAAAACACAGAATACCAAATATGTAAAGTCATGTTAAGTCAAAGGTAATAAATGTATAAGGTTTCAAAAGTAGTTGATCGAGTTAAATTTACAGTGGATTCCAGAGTTAAATTTACAGTGGATTCCAGAGGCTGGATTTCCTCTTCCTTATAGTTTATTTACGGCGTAAATAGGCGGTAAGGCCTTCCGGGTAAGTCAAATAAGCCTCAATATTTGTTTAAAAGGCCGCTTGATCACKTGTGTTTTGACTTAATTAAGTATAAAGAAATATATGAGTCGAGAAATTACCGCGAAAAATTGAATCATAAATTTTAATAACCTCACTATTCAATTCATCCAATAAAAACAAATTGGTTAATAAGTTTGGCAAGTCCTCTATTAAAATGGAAATGACTTGATGTGGTCTATCTCAGTCTCTCCRGATCATGTAATGATACAGCAAAATTGGTCATGAAATATTTAAAGTGGTAACCTTTGATAATTTGCTTCATATTGGTCAACAGAAARATATTTCCAAACCTGATTAAAATTAAWATGATTTGAAATTRAARAAGAAGGATGTCTGAGCTCACAGCAAAACCAAAACACAGACCGCACCCAGGGGATTTCAAGGAGCGCGCGCTTAAACTCTGTCTTGTTTGGGTGGATTGTATTTGAAAACATGAGAGAAATTGTACATGTGCAAGCTGGCCAATGTGGGAATCAAATCGGCGCTAAGGTAAATAGCCATTGTTTTGGTATTATTAATTTCTTTTTTTTTTCATTTCTTTTCGGAGATATAATAAAATATAATCTTACATGGGAATGCATCACATACTCTTTGAAAAGGACATATTAATTTTCATAGTCATAAATTTAAAGTTAAAATTATTTAAAGAAAAGATAAAAAGCGAATTTTTCAAGAATATATTTACCGATATATTGGATATCTATGGTAATTCAATTCTGAACATGAACCACAAACATTTGCTGGCTGAAATGGAAGAAGTCAAGAGCCTAAGATGAAAATAGGAAAAATAGTTTTGAAAATGGTATTCTTAATTCAAATGACAGAACTATTCTGACCTAGAGGTTTCCTGTGAAGTAATAATGCGAAAAATGTAAATGAAATTTTCGTTTTGCACTTAATCATTATTGCTACTGAATAAATGCTTAAAATTACATTATTTTCAAAGTCATTTTCTCACCTTCGAATGCAATTTTCAAAACGAATAGTACGATATATAGATAGTAAATTGGCTTTCGTAYATTTGTGATTAGTTTACAATAGAGTATTTTGAAAACATATTTACTCTTATTTTACTCCGATGCTTATCGTGAATTTTCCCGTAATCTGAAATTATTGTAAATATTTATGTTGATAAAGAAATTCGCAATAATATAGTTGTGCTAATGCCGTTATTATTCCTTATTTCAGTTCTGGGAAGTGATTTCAGATGAACATGGCATCGACGCTACTGGAAACTACCACGGCGACTCAGACCGTCAGCTCGAAAGAATCAATGTTTACTATAACGAAGCTTCATGTAAGCTTTCAACAATTATTATATCAAATCTTTTTATACATGTTTTAATTCGAGGCGAATCGTTTTGATTCTTGTTGTATGATATTGTCATTGAAAATCATCTTTCTCTGATATATATATATTATTAATGAGGATTTTTCAATATTCACAGCTGTACATGTTTTCCAATTATAAATGCATGCATTTGTCCACGAATGAAGCAGAAACATAGACACTCATGGATCTTTACAAAACAATTATCAGTGTTAGAGCATGTTAGAGGACTCCAAAACKTCTTGTTGATCTTATGAATAGGAAAAACAAAATAAGCTAACTTGTCGAACAACACTATTGTTCTACAAATATCTTTTTGATTTAACATTGTTGTTGTTCAAAGTTTCTTGATTTTGATTTCTGACAAGCAGCAGACTGAATATTTTCTATAAGTTGGTCGATTTTKGCGTGCTGATTCATTGTCTAGAAGAATCGTATAATCAAGATGGCGGACATTGAAATGTTGGTCAACAAGTTGCCATGACAAAACGAGCAACAAACAGCAAACGCTGTAATTTGTGGAACACGTTTAAACAACTTGCAACAAGTGCTTGTTTGTTCATCAATATATTTTGACTATATGCTAAAAAGTAGAGAATATATATTACCAATACTAACCATTGCGTCCTTCTGATTGGTCCATAGCTGGTAAATACGTCCCGCGTGCTGTACTCGTGGACTTGGAGCCAGGAACAATGGACTCTGTTCGCGCAAGTCCATCAGGTCAGACATTCCGACCAGATAACTTTGTATTTGGTAAGTGATGTCAATTCCATCCACTTTAGCAAACTGGAAAATAATGCGCATGCTCACTTCTTGTTATCCAGGTCAGAGTGGTGCTGGTAATAACTGGGCCAAGGGACATTATACCGAGGGTGCTGAGCTAGTTGACAGTGTCCTTGATGTAGTCAGAAAAGAGGCCGAGGGTTGTGACAGCATGCAGGGCTTTCAGCTTACGCACTCCCTAGGGGGTGGCACTGGGGCTGGTATGGGGACGCTATTGATCTCAAAGATTCGCGAGGAATATCCTGATAGAATCATCAATTCATTCAGCGTTGTGCCTTCTCCCAAGGTATGGAACATAACAAATAAATTAATATTTCATTACGAAGTCTTAAGTGACTTATAAGTATTTGTCTTTTCGTTTATTTATCAATTTTTACTTTATTTATTTACTGTATTTAAGTGCTTTTTACTTTTTTAAAACTCAGCTATTTGTAATAGAAATTTATTCAATTTAAAATATTCCATTCTTGGGAGTGATAAGCGACAAACTACGTATTTTCCKTGACAAAATTATTCATTTATTCATTCTTWCTAGGTATCAGACACAGTGGTCGAGCCGTATAACGCAACGCTTTCCGTACATCAATTGGTGGAGAACACGGACGAAACGTTTTGTATCGATAACGAGGCTCTGTATGACATTTGCTTCAGGACGTTAAAACTGCGCACGCCCACCTACGGTGACCTGAATCACTTGGTGTCAGCGACAATGAGTGGCATTACGACGTGTTTACGCTTTCCTGGTCAGGTAAACTACAATTCCAGCTACGTTTTGCCTGTATAATATGAAAGATGCTGTATTGGAATAAAGATGCATTTATCTGCTCTTGAATTTATCTGTTTCTTTCTTAAATTATTGCTTTATTTATTTCTTGAAACAATTGATGAAGTTGTTTTTATATAATCCGTTTATTTTTCTACTCTCTCATTTACTTTTCTGGCGTTTGCAATAATTGTTTTGCCTTCCAGTTGAACGCCGACCTTCGTAAACTTGCTGTMAACATGGTACCATTCCCTCGTCTTCACTTCTTTATTCCTGGTTTTGCACCGTTGAACAGCCGTACAGCGCAATCGTTTAGAGCTTTGACTGTCCCTGAATTAACCCATCAGATGTTTGACGCTAAGAATATGATGGCTGCCTGTGATCCAAGACATGGACGATACTTAACAGTGGCGGCCATTTTCAGAGGAGAAATGTCCATGAAGGAGGTATTCATAGTCATGTAGCATTCCTTTTTTGGTGGATATTCATACGCAATTCTTTCATTAACAGGCAAAGAGGGCAAGATGTAATGTCACATTGTTATTTATCATAATGCAGAAATATATCTGCATTTTCAGAATAGTCTTCTTCACGGTTCCCTGCGCCATCTTGAAAGGTAGCCKTGTTTTTGCATCGAAGCAAGACGACCGTTGAGCGCGCAATGATAGAAACCTTCTTTCGCACCTACAGACAATTATTCACAGCTATTTGTCATTGACTAMCTTTCAATATGGCGCACGGAACCATGAAGGATACTATAGCACGACGGTGAACATATTGATTTATTTTATAACAGGTTGATGAGCAAATGCTTAACGTCCAAAACAGAAATAGTAGTTATTTTGTTGAGTGGATACCTAACAACGTCAAGACCGCAGTCTGCGATATTCCACCTCGCGGGCTCAAGATGTCTGGAACTTTTATCGGGAATTCAACATCCATTCAAGAGCTTTTCAAGCGAATTGCCGAACAGTTTACAGCCATGTTTAGGCGAAAAGCCTTTCTTCATTGGTACACTGGCGAGGGGATGGATGAAATGGAATTTACTGAGGTATACTACTTTAGTATAACTTTCTTCATATAATCGGACAATTTCATACTGTGTCGATATATATCTATAAAAATTATGTCAGCAATAGGCTGGTCATGGGCCTCCTGTGGGTGTTTTTAAAGATGGACGACTGACATCTCGTCAARTGGCCGCCCCTTCAGGTTGCTAACTGTTGTCAAATTTTCCACTATTCGGAACTCAACTCTTGTCAAATGCCGGTACATTAGAATATTATGCAGCATACTTCCAATGATGCATTTCGTCATATTGATCAGCTTATTTTTAGCCATTATACTATAGGAAAGTATTAATGAGTACGTTTGCTTTGCAAGGCCGAGTCCAATATGAACGATCTGGTGTCCGAATATCAGCAGTACGAAGAAGCAACGGTCGAAGACGAAGGAGAATTYGATGATGTACCTGAGAACGAAGAATACGAAGCTGAAGCTGAATAATTAATGGAAAAGTCAGTCTAATGACTGAATTGTAATTACTGGATTTAGTGGGCGTTTTTTTACATGGGAGAGGGCCACAAAACAATAAAGAGAACAAAATAAAAGAGTGATGATCCACCTCGGGCCACCTGGCTGAGCACCAGCTCTCTCTTCTGAACGACCCCTCAACCCTTATCTGGTCCATAATCATCTGTAGAAGCAACATTAAAAAAAAAAATTAATAGCACTATGAATAATACCGATGATATGATAATGACAATTTCAATATTAGTCACAATGTTAATGTAAAATAACTATAACAATACTATGCAAAATACTTACCACAGTACGTCAAGTTGAGCATGATACGTTCTATGCTAGTAAGGAAAAGGATCTATCCATTTTCAATTCTGCAGGAATAGATGCCTTTTATTCACAACTGCGGGCAATTATTCCAACGTATTCTATACACCCTTTTAATAAGTCCCGAGGTATTGTTTTTTCTCCGCACTTGACGTCAAATTTATTCTTTTGAAATTTTTGCAATACAGAAGGAATTCAAAAGAATAAATTTGACGTCAAGTGCGGAGAACGTATAATAACTCGGGACTTATTAAAAGGGTGTATACTTGCTCAGCCACTGCCTGTGAATTGTTTTTCATGTGAAAAAATGGAGAACGTAAACGTTGAATAGAAGCATCATACTACCCTGATGATCTACACTTTGTGAAAATGTCCATGACCAAACAGTAGGTAGTATTTTTATTTCTAAAAGGAGTGTTAATGAATTTGATGACTTTTCACAGATCATTTTGTTTTCCTGAACTTCCGATTTACTGAATCAAACAATCCAAGTGTATTYATTTAACTTCACTCAAGCTTTATATTGTCAGAATTAAACTGTAATTAAACTCGAAATCAGAACTTCTCATTTCACTGATTTTAGAATGTGAAGTAAAGTGTCAAAAAGGCGGGCTGGATAGCTTTGCTATGGTCGCTGGGAATTTTTTKAAAATGACACCATCTTCTCCGCCCTTCTATCCCTCTCTACTTATTACCTTTTGGGTTGGATAAATCGTTGCGATAGCGACGGGAAAGCCAACACAAGTTCACTGAACAAGTAATTCCTTGCCTTCAAAACTAAAAAGGTCTAAAAAAAAACTAAAAAAAACCCGATCAGAAGAAGAAGCGCGCCATTTGCGTGAGAAAAACTACTTAACACCAAGCTGAAAGAGTTCTTTAAAATTCATGCTGATGTTATATTTATTTTTCGTTTCTAGCTGGTGTGATAATGGTAGCTCATGCTGCGTACTCTGTTTTAAAACAAAACCTAAAACGACGCTTTATTGTGAAGATTTCTAGAGCAACACATAATTAAAATTCAGGAAGAATTTATAGAGCAATAGCCCAAATTCACTGAATTCAAGTCTCTCAATTGACAGTGTCTCTCAATTGAACAGGTGTATTCGACTAGTAGACCGGCAGTTTATCTAATATTCTGGTGCARTGTAAGCAGATAGGTCTTATCAATGATAAAGGTGAAGAAAAGAGATGTACATGTACAAATGACAMACTGAAGACCACGGAAATAACTGTAACAGCACATATACTTGAAGTTTTTATGCTAGCTAAAACCACATCCAATCTTTTTGGACGATGATAATTTGCTCTATTGAGAGAAAGAGATAATTTTATGAAATGATAATTTCTAATTTGTACTTTGACCAGTGTCTGGAGCGCACGTGTAACGCAACACCATGGCTGCATGACAGGTGTTCTTGGTCCACCATAACAAATCAATTCCTTTATCTGTGTTCTTTGAAATGAAGTGGAATATGAATAGTCTTTTTTTGCCCATTTCCCCTTACGTATTCTTACAATATTTTGGTAAAACGTTTTCTTTATTTTCTCTATTGCTGTGAATATCGAATTTCATGCTGGTATTTGATACAGATGAAAAAAAAAAAAAAAAAAAAAAAAAAAAAAACAACAACAACAGTACGCTACTCGACTTCTTTTCATTTTATAATTGTACATTGGTACTGTGCTGTCAACGCTGTTGTCACTCTTCGCTATGACTGAATTGCCGTCTCCTGTCATGTCATGTTTTTTAACATTTGTTATCCAATTACCTACCCCATGCCTGTATTCTTACAAACACAGGTTTATTAAGCTTTTAAGTCATTTGGATTTACATGGCGCGTTTGGATGAATTTTTAAGTGAGATCACATGCATGTTGCTTTTATACAAGCGACGCCTTCAACACCCAGTTGAGACACCTTTTCTTAAGATAGATTTAATTGGTAGAGATCTYCACGTGACATCGCTGTCTTGATGCAAAATCATCGTATAAATTAGTATTCAATCAGACTTAAAGGTCTTTGGGAACGGACGTTACTTTGATCCCGGAAWATTAAATCAGCATTTCKAAACAGYCTYACAGCATTCAACGCACTGAATTATCAAAAATGGTGAGTGTATTATGATGCTTTCAACTCAGTCACTAAATGGGTGTCAGCGCWATGTGTATATTTTTGGTTGGCGATCGACTCCTTGAGTAAGAATCGTATTTCATTCTTTTAGCATAGAGAAATTCCTTGGTTTTTCATTTGKCAATAAAATATGTATACTCAATGAAGGAATAAATAGATAAATCCCTTCCTTTTTACAGCGTGAATGTATCTCAGTCCACGTTGGTCAAGCCGGCGTTCAAATCGGTAATGCATGTTGGGAGTTGTACTGCCTTGAACATGGAATCCAGCCCGATGGCCTAATGCCTTCAGATCAATCACTCGGTGGAGGTGATGACTCATTCTGTACGTTCTTCAGCGAGACAGGAGGAGGAAAGCACGTACCTCGAGCGGTGTTCGTAGACTTGGAGCCTACAGTAGTCGGTAAGTAGTGCTTGGCACACAAAAGAAGAATTATTTTTTTGTATAACCTGCCATTTGTCAAACCACGGATCATTTTTTTCTCCAAGAAATCTCGTATTCTTCATAGTGAAACGTTGAACTTGCTGGACAAACAAACTGCAAGAAACGCTGTTGTACCATCCAACTGACCGAATAGCTAAAGATTACCAAAAATAATTAAATTTCTATGCTTAAGATTAGTCTAGTAAAATGCSTCGTAAAATGCATATACTATCGTCTGAGACAATATAATTCCCTTAACTAATACGACAGCTGTGCTTTGGGCGGATGAGGAAATGTCGTGATATYGAAGCCTTACATTTTTATTTTGACTGGAATACTTACAACACCCTTTTCGCTTATTGTTGATTCATTTTATTCTAAATAATTAAACTGAACACGATTCTCACTTTTCTAATATATCGAGAAGAACACTCTGGTTCGTTCATCTTCATGGGAAGATTTATTAGAAAAATATGGAGCTGAAATACCAGTGTAACTTGCACTGATTCCCWCAAACGAACCCTGCAATGACGAGCAATGATTGGAATTGACTGAATAAGGCTGAGAACTGATATCTTGCAAAGCACAATKCAATGAGCTGCATGAGAGCTAGTCACTGTAGCTTAGTTACCATCAAAAAAATAATACAATATGATYATGTAGTGGTATTTTAAATTTAACCCATTTTATTAATTACAGATGAAGTCCGTTCAGGACCATACAAACAACTCTTCCACCCTGACCAGCTACTTACTGGAAAAGAAGATGCCGCTAACAATTATGCTCGTGGGCACTACACAGTTGGAAAAAGTATGGTTGACCAAGTATTGGACAAAGTTAGAAAACTGGTAAGCAATGTTTTTTGCTTTTCCATTACTATCGAAATTAATACCGAGTAAAAGTGAATTAGTGAAACAAAAATCCTGCACCGAGACGGGAATCCTCGTCCAAACGCTCCCTTGGTGATCAGTCACACTCTTAATAACTTCGAAAATATTCATTTTTTGTCGACAGGCGGACCAATGCACTGGTCTTCAAGGATTTCTCATCTTCCATTCATTTGGTGGAGGCACCGGTTCCGGATTTTCCTCTCTTCTTATGGAGCGCCTGTCCGTCGACTATGGCAAGAAATCAAAACTCGAGTTCTCCATCTATCCAGCTCCGCAGATCTCCACTGCTGTTGTGGAGCCATACAACTCTATCTTGACAACCCACACCACACTCGAGCACTCTGACTGCGCATTCATGGTTGACAACGAGGCTATTTTTGATATCTGTCGCCGCAACCTCGATATTGAAAGACCTTCTTATATAAATTTGAACCGTCTGATTGGACAGATCGTGTCGTCCATCACGGCTTCTCTGCGCTTCGATGGTGCTCTGAATGTGGACYTGACTGAGTTCCAGACCAACTTGGTACCCTACCCACGTATCCACTTCCCCTTGGCCACCTACGCCCCTGTCATCTCTGCAGAGAAGGCTTATCACGAGCAGTTGAGCGTAGCGGAGATCACCAATGCCTGCTTTGAGCCAGCCAATCAGATGGTGAAGTGTGATCCGCGTCATGGCAAGTACATGGCCTGCTGTCTGTTGTTCCGTGGTGATGTTGTTCCCAAAGATGTCAATGCAGCCATAGCAACCATCAAGACCAAGAGAACCATCCAGTTTGTCGACTGGTGTCCGACTGGCTTCAAGGTTGGCATCAACTATCAGCCACCCACAGTTGTTCCTGGAGGTGACTTGGCCAAAGTACAACGTGCTGTCTGCATGTTGAGCAACACCACAGCCATTGCTGAGGCCTGGGCTCGCCTGGATCACAAGTTTGACTTGATGTATGCCAAGCGTGCTTTTGTTCACTGGTATGTTGGTGAAGGCATGGAAGAGGGAGAGTTCTCTGAAGCYCGTGAAGATTTAGCAGCACTAGAAAAGGATTACGAGGAGGTTGGAGTTGATGGCACCGGTGAAGACGATGACGACGATGAAGGAGAAGAATACTAGATTCAAATAAGCTGATTAGAGAGACATTAATCAAATACATCCAATTAAAGAATTAACATAGCTAGCTAACATTCTTTTACTATTTTAGGACACACATAAATTATCATCATGATAATTATACAAAACATGGAGAGATTAAAAAATGATAATCATTAAAAACGATATCCTTTCCATCCAGCAGGCATCACTAGACATCCCAGTAAAAAWATTAACCAAAAGAAAAACAATAAAATMCGGCAARTTCATTGAATGGAAGATGACACAATTTCTATAATATAGTTGAATCTCGAGTAGTCCGAGGACACCCTTGGGAAATTGTACAAGTGAGAAAGGTGTGAATGCAGTGTCTGTATCGAAGAAAAAAAGTGCGGGGTTTTGGAAAGTTATATATAATTAGAGCTGCCTCAGTGCCCTGCTTGCGAGAGCTTCCGCAAGTTGAGATTGTATGTCTCTTTATATATATTTATACATCCAAATACTGAATTTAGAGATTTCGTGTTCGTCATATCAGGGGACCTAGAGTGGCGTTAACCACAGGGAACCCGGCATAATTATTTTGCAATCGCGAACACATTACCTCATATTTAAATCTTATTAATTATATATATTTTAACAAGCAACAGAAACAGCATTTTAAACTTCGACAAGCGCTTGAAATTATCAACTGCACACAATGCTCTAATCTCTACAAATTTCTGAATCACACGAAGTTTATTTAAAATGTTATCTCTTTAGCAAGATAAAACTCGCAAGCCTTTTGGCTATCACCAATGCATCTGTACCGGAATGATTTCAAACGCGTCGTTTCCGCTTCTGACATATTATCTTAAGTTGGTTTTAATTGGTTCAAATCTGCACGTGATTGATCACTGGATTTATTGAAGACACATGTACCAATTACTATTCATTCAGACTGTCGAAGTCTTTGGGAATGAACGTAACTTTGATCCCCGAATCGAAAACCTTCACCTAAAAGCACACCATTTCTCTCAAGCCTACAGTCAAAAATGGTGAGTGTTTTTATTGCTTAATATTGCTTAATTCTTTTTGTGATTATATGCTCGTATTTTTTATACGCATCTTAGAGAGAAATGAAGATATATTACTAGTAACCAAATCATTCGTCGCTTTTTCTTCTGTTCACAAATGTAAGAAATATAATGAGAACGAATACAAGGTCATACAAAATTTTTCTTCGTACAGCGTGAATGTATCTCAGTCCACGTTGGTCAAGCCGGCGTTCAAATCGGAAACGCATGTTGGGAGTTGTACTGCCTTGAACATGGAATCCAGCCCGATGGTCAAATGCCTAGTGATCAAACACTAGGTGGAGGGGATGACTCATTCTGTACGTTCTTCAGCGAGACAGGAGGAGGAAAGCACGTACCTCGAGCTGTATTCGTAGATTTAGAACCAACAGTCATTGGTGAGTCAAAATTCATAAACATATTCTGTTAGAAAGGAGTGGTTCAAATATGTACACASTGAATCATTGTCACCCTTTTATGAAAAGAAAACAAACAGAAAAAACAATTAAAAATAAGCATTAAAAATCATATGTTACTGAAATATGAAGTTTGTCCATTTTAAAGAAATATCCTTTGATTGTCAAAATGAATGTTGTTTACAATAAACCGAAAGATCTATGGCTATTTKATGTACAAAACTAAGGCTTTTTGAAAGATAAAGCTAACGTCATTAATAGAGCAATGTTTTCTTTGAAATTAAAACACTTATATCATACTATTCGAATGAAGTCTTTAGAAAACACAAAAATAAAAGGAATCAACATTAAGCGAAGAGGGAGTTGAATGCCTCGAGATCGATATGTAAATTTTCATCACACCACAAAACCTTATACGCCCAGTTTGCAGCTGTCAGATTAAAGCGAATTCTATTGTTTCGCAGGGATATGTATATATTTCTCAAAATCAATTTGAAGCGTGGACGCTWTTATTTCAAAGAAAGGCTAATCGAACCCTGAGAAATACAAAATTAATTTACAATTTTTGATCCAATTTTTGATCAATCGGCATAAAATCAGTTCCTTTTAAAAATATTTTACTAAAACGTAATGGCATGGGGTTTGACTTTATCATATGGATGTATTGATTAAAAAACAAGTTTTCTACGTGTTTCCTGGATTCTTTTTCTTCAATAGAATCCTTTATTTTTCTTTTATAGTTAYAACTTTTATAATAAAAAGCACCATGCATACTTCATGAGTGCAGCGAGTTTTTGTCACTTATTGTGATGAACCGATTTGAAGAATTCAAATCTATTGCTGTCAGCTGTAAACGATCATATACATTTCGCGGGATGTTATTGTTTGACTCGATCACCCCATGSAGAAAAAGGTGTGGCAAAACCTTGAAAGAGATCTCAGTCATCTCATGGCTACGYCAATTAAATTCATAAAGATAAAGTAAAAAAAAAAAAATGAAAACAGCAGCACTATTAGTACAGTACTAGTAATAAAACAATAAAAACTAAACAGCAATTTTCAAAAAAAGTTGACCCTCTTTGCAATATTTCGAATATATTAAACTGACCTTTAGTATCATGGGTTATYATGGCTGATATATTTTTGGAGCTGTCAAAATGATTTTTTTTTCTAAAAATGAAATTCTGATGCATCGTTATAATAGTAGTAATACTGAAAATTTCCGGAATAATATCTCTTTTAATGAAATGAGAGAAATTCAGTTCCTTTAGAACAGGCAAGCACTGTTAGTAGATCTATTATCAGTCAATTCATTGACAACGACAGATGTTCATGTTGTTGTTTGGGAAATTCAGCATCCAATTAATTCAAAGTGCAGTATAAGCTTCAAACGTCTATTAGCCTTATCGACCTAGCTTTGTCTAGCATAAATTTTTTTAAAGTATGTTTAATTACAAATGAATAAAACCTGATTCACTTTGTTTTTACGTGTAGATGAAGTTCGTTCAGGCACATACCGACAACTCTTCCATCCTGACCAGTTAATTACTGGAAAAGAAGACGCCGCTAACAACTATGCTCGTGGACACTATACCATTGGCAAAGGCATGATTGATGATGTGTTGGACAAAATTCGAAAATTGGTAAGAAATTAAATGAAAAGCATACGTAATTTAATGAAAGAAATAATAATTGTACGTGTTTTCATAGACAGCTTCTTCTATAAACTTGTTAACATCAATTTTTAATTCAAAATTTGTCGTACTAAACGAGGACAGCATCAAATTTGAACAACGCCGCCATGCGCCAAGTTGTCGTCCTAGTCATTTTTTCTCAGTTTTAATTATTTGCAATTTGATTAGTTTGGAATTAAACCTATGAATTCCTCAACAGGCGGACCAATGTACTGGTCTTCAAGGATTTCTCATCTTCCATTCATTTGGTGGAGGCACCGGTTCCGGGTTTTC